ACCCAGTGATATATATATTTATTTTTTCTTTTGTGGTGCCAGAGTTTGAACCTAAGCCCTCACACAATCTAGGCAAGTGCTCTGTCACTGAGCTATCCTAACCCACCCCACTGCCACTTTATTTTTTTAATTAAAAATTTTTATTTATTTATTTTTTCTTTTGTGCTGCTGGGGATTGAACACAGGGCCTTCCCTATCCCTTTTTAAATTTATTTTTGAGAAAGGATCTTACTGAGTTGTTAAATTTTTCAGGCTGGGCTTGAACTTTCAATCCTTCTGCCTCAGCCTCCACTTTTAGAAAGGCATCTTGGTAGAGTATGATTAAGGAAGGTTAGACTAGCTACCTGTAGAGAAGTTGCATTATTGCAGAAATTTAGACAAGAAAAATAAGGGTCTGAGTTAGCAATAGTGGATGAAGAGATGCATTTAAGAAATACTGACTTGTCTAATGTCTAAGGTTTATTGGATTGTAAAATATTTATTTTCTCCCACAGAGTAAACAATACTTGGGCTCAGACATTAACTAAAATTGTCAAATATAACAAGAAACTAACTGTTTTTTAAAATGCCCTATATTGCAGGTGAACATATCTCAAGCTGACATGCAGGCCATTGGCAATACCATCACAATGGTAACACAGGATGGCACGCCCATCACAGTCCCTGCTCATGACGCAGTCATCTCCTCAGCAGGAACACATTCTGTTGCTATGGTCACTGCGGAGGGTACAGAAGGGCAGCAGGTAATTACTCTTACCTGTTATATCAATAAATATATCTATCAGAAGCCAGGCCTGGTGGTGCAGGCCTTTGATCCTAGCATTCAAGGAAGCTGAGGCAGAAGGATTGCAAGTTCAAGACTAACCTTGGAAAGTGACTTAGCAAGAGCCTATCTCAAAATAAAAAAATAAAAAGGGCTGGGGATGTAGCTCAGTACCGAAGGCCCTGGGTTCAATCCTCAGTACCACAAAAAAGAAAGAAAATAGAGGCTGGTACATAGCTCAGTGGTAGAGCCCTTGCCTAATAAATTAGTCAGTTGTCCTATCTCTGAGACAACACCCAGAATGTAAAGGATGAGGGGTTTAATTAGGCTGTTTTAAGGAAATCAGTTATAGTTAAATAGTTAGCCAGCTCCAAGACAGGAACATCATGGCAGAAGGGTGTAGTTGAGGAGATCTGCTAAATTTATAATGACCAGGGAGCAGAGCAGGGGAACATATATAGAACCCAAGGCCATGCCTCCATGGCCCTTTCAAATATACCTAGGAGAGGGCCAGGGATAAATCCTCAGTGGTTCTGCCACCTGCCTCACAAGCACAAGGTCCTGAGTTCGATCCCCAGTACAAAAATAAATAAATAAATAAATATACCCAGGAAAGTGCTCTAGTAATCTTCTAGGTCTTGTCTTGTCTTGTCTTTTTCTCTGAGGCAGGGTCTCCCTTTGTAGTTCAACCTGGCCCTGAACTCACTATGTAGCCCAGCCTGGCCTTGAACTCTCAGTGATCCTTCTGCTTCAGTCTACTAAGTGCTTGGATTACACACATGCAACACCAAGCCTGGCTCTGCTAGGTGTTTCTTTGTGGGGGAGGTTTTTTTTGGCACTGGGGATCGAATTCAGGACCTTGTGCTTTCGAGGTAGGCATGGTGCCACTGAGCTAAATCCCTGGCTCCATACTAGGTATTTCTTAATCTTTTGAAAGTAACATATCCAGATTAATGGTCACAATTTACCCCTTGTACACTTCACACTGAAACACATCTCCTTAAACCATACTTAATCTCCAAATAAAGACAATATAAATTCATAATCCCAATTAACGTAAGACAACTATTCTGTGCACATCCATAAATCCAATATTGCTTTCCTCATAGTCTCAACAGTTCCAGTAAATTTTTTTTTTTGGTACTGGGGATCAAACTCAGGACCTTGCACTTCTGAGGCAGACAGCAGCACCACTGAGCTAAATCCCCAGCCCAGTAATTTTTTTTTTTAGTTCCAGCATTTTAAAAAAGTTCACGTCTAAGTCTCTTCTGAGATTCAGGGCAAACTCTTAGCTGTGAACTTCTGTAAATATCAAAAACAAGTTACATATCCCAGGGCTCAGTGACACAGAATACACATTCTCATTACAAAAGAGAGGAATAAGAGGGTAGAAAAGAATCAGACCAAAGCAAAATCAAAAGCTAGCAGGTCAAGGGCCGGGGATTTAGCTCAGTGGCAGAGCGCCTGCCTGGCAGGTGCAAGGTCCTGAGTTCAATCCCTGGTACCAAAAAAAAAAGCTAGCAGGTCAAACATTAAATCTTATAGCTCCACGTCCAACATCTGGGGCTAATGGTGGTAAAATTTGAGTTCTAAAGGCCATAGGTAGCCCCACTCCATTGGCCTTGCTCATTACAATACACATGTCCTCTCTCTTGAGCTGGCTTCATTCATAGCCTACAGTTTTCCTTAACTGATGTTTTACATTCTTAGCATCTCCACCTCCCTGGGGTCTCCAGCTCCCTGGTGTACCTTTGACTTCATTCTCACAGGTTCACGTATTGCCCTCTCAGGGGTTCCTTGCCTGGCTCTCAGGCCTTCCTCTAAAATGTGGGGGGAAGCCTCCCTCACCTCACAACTCTTGCATTGTGTATCCCAGTAAAACCAGCATCACGTGGATGATGACAAGGTCTACCAGTAGCTCAAGCAGTAACCAGGCCTCCTTTGACCATGGCTGTAGTACCCCCTGAGTGCCTGGATGGCTGAGCATGCTGAAATGAATACTGGAGAAACTAATTTCTTGGGAAGCCCTTCTATAGCAGGGGTCTGTGAGGCTCTCTTTTCAAATGTACTTTTACACCCTTGAACCTATCATGGGTGGGGTCTTGCTGATTCCTGAGATGCCTTCAAGGCATCTTTTGTCTTGTCCTAGTTCAAAGTACTTGCTTGCTTTGTAAAGGTGTAATCTTTTTCAGAACCACACCACCTTTGGCCACAGCTTCATACATGGTTCCTTCTGGACCAAAATTTAAATTGTTCAGATTTTTCTGCTCTGCCTTTTGCCCCTGGTTCTCACTATAAATCAGACTAAAAGTAGCCAGCAAGCAGTACCTGGGTGATAGCCTGAATGTCTGACTGTTTTGAAATTTGTTCTGCCAAATTAGTCCACTCCCCTTAATCTCAGTCTTCCATGAAGTCTCAAGACATGGGCATAATGTAAACAAATTTTCTGCCACAGTGTAACACATATGGCCTCTGATACAACTGCCAGTGGAGTCTTTGTTCCCACCTGAAACCTCCTGAGACTGGCCTTTGCTGTCTACAATCCTGTCAGCATTCTAGTCTGAGCTCCAGCTAGCATTACTTGTCAAGCTCTATTTACAGCCTTCTGTTTTCTCTAGCCAACACCCCTAAACCTTTCCAAACTCCTCCCACAAACCAGTTCCATAGGCTTCTAATCCATGGTCAGGTACAGTCATGGCAATGACCTTCTTCTCTGGTATCAATTTGCTGTATTAGCTTTTCCATCTCTGAGACAGTACCCACAACTTAAAGGAGGACTAGATTAATTTGGCTTACTTTTTAAGGGGAAAGGTGGAACAAAGCTTCTTAGTTTATGGTGCCCAGGGAGCAGAGTAGGAGAACAGCACCAGAGAAAAATGAATGAGGGACCATATGTAGTACCGAAGACCATGCTTCCGTGACCCATCCAGTTGTTCCCAGGACTTCTCCAGTAGTCTGCAAGGCATTGATTAATTGTGAACTTGATTTATCAGGATTAGTGGTTACACCTAGGATGCATGAAGCCCTGGGTTCCATCCCCAGCACGCTCGAAAAATGTTTGTATGTGTGTGAATGTATAGTATATGTATGTATATATGTATGTATGTATAGTATATACACATAGAATACAAGGAAGTCTTCCTCCTATATACTCAGTTTTGTTTTGTTTCCAATACTGGGGATTGAACTCAGGACCTTGCGTTTGCCAGGCAGGTAGGGCACCACTCTGCCCCAGCCACACCTATCTACTCAGTTCTTATCCCCAGATAGTCCACTTTTACTAGTTTGTTATGTATTTGTTCAACATTTTTTTAAGCATATATAAATACAAATAATGGTCTTTGCCTCTTTTTTAATGGCAATAAACTATACTACTTTGTATCTTTCTTTTGGTTTTATTTTGTTTGTTTGGTTGGTTGGTTTTTCTTAGTACCAGGGATTGAACTTGGGTCCTTGTGCTTGCACAGCAGGCAGCGAAACCTCTGAGTAAATCCCGGGCCCTATTTTGTTTGTTTTTTGAGACAGAGTTTCACTATGTAGTTTAGGCTGGCCTTGAACTCATGGTGATCCTCCAGCCTCAGCTCCTGAGTGCTGGGATTACAGGCATACATCACCACTCCCAGCTACATCTTACTTTTTAAACTTAATAAGACATCTTGAAATATTTCTATTTTATATATAGAAGGCTTTGTCTGGGTTCAATCTCCAGCACCACCATTAAGAAAAAGAAAATCAATATAAAGCTGCATTATATCCCACTGTCAGAATGTGCCATGGTTTACTTAAAATCTTTTGCTGTTTCAGACCACACATAACCCTGTTCACATGTGATTTTTGCATATGTATGAGAAATATGCTATAAATTCCAATAGTTGGGTTGTTGGTGGAAAGATATATACACTTGTACACTTGTAATAAATGTTGCCAAACTTCACTTCTTTTTTTTTTTTTTTTTTGGTACCAGGGATCAAACTCGGGACCTTGCACTTGCGAGGCAGGCACCAGAACCACTGAGCTAAATCCTCAGCCCCCAAACTTCACTTCTATGACTGTTTCAGTCTACATGCCTTCTTGCAGGGTCTGAGAGGGCCTGTTCTCCTAAAGTGTAGTTCATAATGATATCAAACTTCTGGATTTTTGCCAATTTGATATATTCATTGTAGTTTAAATGTTCACGTCCCTTAAGTAACATAGATTAATATGTTTAAAAACTGTTCTTATACTGTGATAAAGGCAACGTTGGATCTCACCGCTGCTACCTTAACCTGTTTGATGAAAGAGTCTGAAAATTAGTAGTTCTCTGTCACCCTAAAATCATTTACAAATTCAGTACCATCACAACCACAATTAGAGCAGGAATTTTTTGAAAGTAGAGCTGTGGTGATTTTAAAATTCACATGAAAATACAGAGGACCTACAACCTTCTTCTTGTTAAAAAGAACAGAGTTAAAAAAAAAAAAGGGCCGGGAATTTAGCTCCGTGGTTCTGCTGGCTGCATAGAAAGCACAAGGTCCCAAGTTCGATCCCCGGTACCAAAAAAACCCCCAACAAAACAAAGTTGAAGGTTTTATACACTTTGATACACTAGTGGTGTGGGTTTTTTTTTTTTTTTTTTTTTTTGATACTGGGGATTGAACTCAGGACTTCGTGCTTAAGAGGTAGGCATGGTGCTGCTGAGCTAAATCCCTGCCCCAGTTTTATACACTTTGAAATGCAAAACAGAACCATAAAACCTCTAGGAAAAGAGAGGCAAATATTTATGTAACCAGTGTTTTTAATGTGCAAATTATTTTGCTCATTGGTGGGTTTTTGCTTTTTTGGTACTGGGGATCGAACTCAGGACCTTGCACTTCCAGGCAGGCGCAGCACCACTGAGCCACATCCCCGGCCCTTGTTTTTGTTTTTTGGAACAAGATCTTACTATGTAGTCCAGGTTGGCCTTGAATTTGCTGTGAGGCCCAGGCTGGCTGCTAACTGGAGATATTCCTTCCTCAACCTTCCTAGTGCTAGAATTAAAATCATGTACCACACCTGGCTCTCTATTGCTTATTTGAATGGCCCTCTCCCAGAAGAAGATATTCTATGATAAATAAGACAAAAAACATGCTCAACATCTTGAGTCAATAAACAAATGCAAATTAAGGGTTTTGGGAGCAGTGGTAGAACACTTTGCCTAACAGAGGCCCCCTAGGTTTGATCCCTAGCACCACAAGGAAGGAAAGAAGGAAGAAAGGGAGGGAAGGGATGGATGGGAAGGGAGGGGAGGAGAGGAGGAAGGGAAGAAGGGAAAGAGGAAGGAGAAGATGGGGAGGGAGAGAAGTGAAGGAGGGAAGAGGAGGGATGGTTATTTTGGCTAAAATCAAAAAGACTAACAAAACCAAATGTTGGCAAAGATGAAGCAACTAGAACGTTCATTTACTAATACTAAGGGCATAAAATGATACAACTTTGGAGAGTGGTTTGGCAGTTTCCTATAAATTCAAACATACCTCTACCCTATGATTCAGTGATTCCTCTACAAAATGTATGATTCCATTCATATGACACAGGCAAAATTAATCCATTTATATTTGAACAAACAATCCATTTTGGAGAGAGATTGATTAAATGCATTATGAAGAAACTTCTCCATATTGTTTCGGTAGTGGTTTCAGAGATGTGTCCAGCTGTCAAAACTCAACAGGACACCTAAGATTCATGTGTATTTATTGATGCTAATTATACCTTTCTTATTATTTTTATTTTATTTTGGGGGAGGGTTTGGTACCGGAGATCGAACTCGGGTCCTTGCGCTTGCGCAGCAGGTGACAAAACCACTGAGCTAAATCTCCAGCCCTCTTATTCTTGATAATGATAATTTGCATTTTCTTTTTTCTTAATCATCTTTCTAGGGCTTTATGAATTTTAATCTTTCTCAGAACAATTTTACCTTAATTTTCTTTTTAAATGTATTTTCATTAATTTTTGTTCAGACTCATATCCTTCATTCTGTTTGGTTTTTATTATCTCTCACTTTTGTTTTTTTACTTATTTATTTGTTAGTTTATTTTTGTGGTGCTAAAGATTGAACCCACGGGGCTGGGGATTTAGCTCAGTGGTTTCGCCCCCTGCTGCACAAGTGCAAGGACCCAAGGTCGATCCCCAGTACCCCCACCCCCAAAAAAAAGATTGAACCCAGGGCCTTGTCACTAAGTTACAGCCCACCCCTTTTTATTTTTTATTTTGGGACACTGGCTCAAATTGCCCACGCTAGGTTTGAATTTGCAATCCTTGTGCCTCAGCTTTTCCGAGTGCTGGAATTACAGGAATGCCTGGTTTAATTTTCTGTTCTCTGTCATGGTTTTTTGTTTTGTTTTGTTTTTTGTGGTTTTTTTTTGGTACTGGGGATTGAACTCGGGTCCTTGTGCTTGCAAGGCAGGCAGCAGAACCACTGAGCTAAATCCCCTGTTTTCTGTCATCTTAAGGAAGACTCTAAAATCATTCATTTAAAATCTTTTGTTATAAATATTTATAGCTATAACTATCCCTCTAAGAATTACTCTAGGTTCAATATATACATTTTGATACCTTGTTTTTATTTTCTTTCATTTTGAAATATTTTCTGAAAAAAAATATTTTCTGGTCTTTTTTTGGCTCCTGGATTACTTAGATTTATGTTGCTTAATTTCTGAACATTTGGTACTTTGGGGGGTATTTTTAATGTTACTGAGTTTTAGTTTTGTTCTGCTGTGATCAGAGAACATGTTCTGTAAGAGTTTATTATTTTGAAACTTACTACTGAAACTTGTGCCTCCAGATGGTTTCAGATACAGATTTAACCGTTAAAGAATTCTGGAAGGAACATTACAACAACATCTTTTCTTTGTGGGGTTAATTGAGAAATCCTGGGCCAGTGTCTCTCTAAGGACACTGAAGTCTGCCTGTATACAGGAGAAACTTTGAAGGCTGTGTAGAAGAGCCTGAGCCTTCATTGACCAACTTGAGTTACAAGCAGCCCTCTCAAATGAGTCGGGTTCATAAGTCAAGTGTTCACTGTAGCTATTTTGTTGTTGTTTTTTGGTACCGGGTATTGAACTTGGGACCTTGCGCTTGCCAGGCAGGTGTTGGAACCACTGAGCTAAATCCCTAGCCCACTGTAGCTATTTTTAAGTCACTGTCTGTTGCCAGGCATGGTTGTGCAGGCTTTAAATCCCAGCACCTGGTAGGCTGAGGGAGAAGGATTTGCCGTGAGCTCAAGGCCAGCCTGGGCTACATAGTGAGATCAAGGCCAGCTTGGACTATAAAGTGAGACTCTGTCTCAACAAAACCCAAAAATGAAGTCTTTCTTTGCTAATTCCAACATTGTGTAGTCATCTCACAGAGTCTTGTTTCTGTTGACTTCATTTTTCTCTTGACTCTAGGTTACATTTTCTTCTTCTCATGTCTGATAGCTTTTTAATTGTCTTCTGGACTTTATGGATGATACATAAATAGATATTCTGAGTTTTGTTACCTTTTTCTGAAGAATACTGATTTTTTTTCTATCAGACAGTTAAATTACTCCTAGAGTCTGGGGTTTGTACTTTAGGCAGGTCTGTTTCAGTTTTGTCATTGTGTCTTAGGGCCAATCTTTATTGCTGCCATAATCTTTACTCCTAAAGAATGGCCTTTACTTGGGTTTCAGTGTAAAATCTGAGGTGTTTACCAACCCTCACAAGTAGGATCCTGCATGTAAATGGAATTACACAATATTTGTATTTTTTGTCACTGGCTTATTTCATTTAACATAATGTCTTTAAGGTACACCCATGTTATAGCATTTGACAAGATTTCGTTCCTTTTAAAGGCTAAATGATATTCCATTGTATATATGTACCATAGTTTGCATATCACTGATGATGCACACTTTACCCTTTTGTAACAAATATCTTGTAATTTTCCTTTTATGATCTGAAATAAATTGATTGATGGTATATATAATTTGAAAAGTAGATAAAGCTCTAAATATCACAAAAAATAAATGAAAATAAACATTTAAACAATTAAATCTATTTAAAAAAAAACAAAACAAATAAGAGTCCAGAATAGACAGAATATAAAATCTCTTCCAAAGATAAGCTTCTACAAGTCTATGGCAGAAGGAAATATTCCCTTTTGAATTTGAAGGCAATCCCTGCATGAAGTGGACTTTAAACTATTTGAATCATAGATTTAATTCTTCACATGTGTTTTGTTTTTGCTTAAGGTTGCAATTGTGGCTCAGGACCTAGCAGCGTTCCACACGGCCTCCTCAGAGATGGGGCACCAGCAGCACCACAGCCATCACTTAGTCACCACAGAAACCAGACCTCTGACCTTAGTGGCAACCTCCAATGGCACCCAGATTGCAGTTCAGGTGAGGACAAGGGAAAGCTGTCCTCAGTAGACAGCGGTGCTGTGTAGCTCTTGACCTGGTATGCTGGGCTTTGTATGTGACCTCTACAAGAGGCAGGGCACTGAATAATATGGGTACCTATCATACTTTAGGGAACTTTCTGCATTTGAGGTGATCTCAAAGAGATCTGCACTGTTATTTACTACCTTTGCATGTTCTTGGGAGAATTTACTGCAAGACAAAAAGAATCTTCGGGCATGTATCCCTGTGTATGTCCACCTAGTGACCTTTACTCTCAAAGTAAGTCTAATTAGGCCGAATTCTGTAAAGCACTTAAGAGCCACTCCTCAGAGATGAAGCTAGCATAAACACAGACTGTATATTAGTCCTCAGAATCCTTGCACAAAATCCTTCCCCATGTTAAAGTGGAGAAGGTTGGAAGACCTAGAAGGGTAGCATTCTCTGGGCAGTCACTGGATCCAAGCAGATAATCTACAGTCCTGGATGTTAAATGCAGTTATCCTCTTCGTTCATAGTCTGGTTTCCCTGTGTGTACTTGACAGAAAGTTATATAACACTATGGAAAATCTCAGCCATTGGCCAGTTTCATTTAGTTTATGGGTCTAGAGCTAAGGAAGGGTTCGGGAAGCTCTCCGACTGTATTTGGCCAAGGTGACCCTCTTTTGTCCCTTCCATCTATGAAAATTCATTAAAATCCCTGTAGAAATTTGGCTTTGTGTTCTTTTTTTTATTTTTTATTTTTTGGTACCGAGGATCGAACTCGGGACCTTGCGCTTGTGAGGCAGGTGCCGGAACCACTGAGCCAAATCCCCAGCCCTGTATTCTTGATAATTAAGTCAGCAGTAGTATTTTTTAACCAGCCTGTGTCAGAATTACAGAGAGAAGTTTCATTTCTAGCACGTAACGTTCCTTTGACTTATCTTGACTGGGGCTTTAGGATTGTTTTGTGTTTGATGTGTGTGTTCCTGTTTCAGCTTGGAGAACAGCCATCTCTGGAAGAAGCCATCAGAATAGCATCTAGGATCCAACAAGGAGAAACACCAGGGTTGGATGATTAATCCTCAGAACAGTGGAGCAATAAAGCAGGAGGAACCTTTGATCTGGCAGCAGAAATCTCTGAAGCTGGGGCCCAGGAAAACCAGAAGTTTTCCGTTCCTGATACACTGTACACATTTTTATGCAAGAGCGGAGAATGTTTTATTCTTGACACTTTTGTGTATATAACCATTGGAATAGATTCCCAAAGTGATTCATTGTGTACAAGGAAGAATGAAATTAGGGCAATACAGTAAATTTTCATGTTACCCTTTTATCAGATTGCAAACTCCTAGAGACTATTTGCAAGACCATTGAAGTCTTTACAGAGTCTTATGGATTTTTAATTAACTTACTGTGAAAAAAAATTAAGGCTGTATCTAAAATGTCAAAATTTCTACATACCAAACAATCATAATTCCCAAAGCCATCATGGACAGTAAAGGATGTAAAGCCTTCAGATATTTCCCCCAGTTAGTAGTGTCTTCAGTTTTTGTTCAACTGTACTTGCCCATTTTTATTTGTATCTCATGGTTTGAAGACTATTTGTTTATAGTTTCCCTGTTACATAGCAGCTCCTCAAGTTGAAATGCTAACTATGTTAGCATTACATTGGATTATGTATAAAATTACAAAGTTTGGTTATTTAAAATTAAAATGTCAAATCCAGGGTTTTGTTAAAGATCTCACTTAGTGTTCAGGTTTTTTGTTACTGTTTTTTTAAAAATAATGAGAGCTGGGGATTTGGCTCAGGGGTTCCGCCGCCTGCTCCGCAAGCACAAGGACCCAAGTTCAATCCCCAGTACAAAACAAATAAAAATAATGAACTATGGAAGTTTGACCACAGGTTGGTGCCCGGGATAACAGTGCTGTAATGGGAAATGGCTTTACTCTGAAAATTAGGTTAGCGGGGTTGGTGTAAATTTATTTATTTTTGCTTATGTACTTTTGTTTTAAAGCTTATTTACCCTAAAGTTTATTATTAATTTTGAATACAGCAACTTTTAAAATGTTATCTTTATATTTGTCTTATTAAATGGGTGCCGGGTGGGAGGGTGCAGCACGAAGGGCAGATGCCTGAGGGTGTGCTGTGCATATGCACAGAATAAGCACTTTTCTGTTGAGTTTTAGGTGGTCACGGCAAACCTGTGAGATAGTCCCACTCAGTCCATAAGAAAACTGCTCATCCAGTGAGAAAGCTTGTCTCACCAGACCTTGCGGCCATGAAAGCCTGGGCAAAGCCTGGAGAACCCAGGGTTTCTGATGCCACACCATTTCTTCTGTACACCACAGCCGCTGCCTCCTGTGACCATTTATAGCAGAGATTATGGAGATGAGCCTTGATGATTTTTGATTGCCTAATAACCTGAGCATTTGAATACTATTTTTTTTTTCTTTTTCCAATACAGGGGATCAAACTCAGGACCTTACACTTGTGAAGCAGGTGTGGCACCACTAAGCTAAATTCCCAGCCCTTGGATACCATTTTTTAATGTCAGAAATTCAGCACAGGGACATTAAGGTTAAAGGGGCAGGGGTGGGGGTGGGTGAAAGGTTGCCCTGCAGCAACCACTCCTGCCCTTCCCTTTCACCCAGCTTTGTTTGCCAGGGCCCTGAGAAGTGGCCATTGTTCATTTCAAGCTTTACCACACAAAGGAGTATGTGCTGTTTTATTTAAAGTAAATGTTATCTTTGATCAGGTGCTTTGAACTCTTGCTAAAAGGGTCATGACTTAGTCATGTGAAATGAGAAAACTTTGCCAGGTGTAGTGCCCTATGCCTGTAATCCCAGCTGCTTGGGAGGCTGAGGAAGGAGGATGACTAGTTCAAGGCTAGCTTGGGCAATTTAGCAGAACCCTGTCCCAAAATTTAAAAAGAGCTGAGTATATAATTCAGTGGTAGGACAGCTTGCCTAGGGGCAAGTACAAAGCCCTGGATTCAATAATCGGTACCACAGAAAGAAAAAAACAACCATTCAGGGTTGGGCAGAGGATTGGTTGTTTTTCCTTCAAAGTCCTTTACAGATACATAACACGAACAAATCCTAATCACCCACAGACCCAGTCTTTCTTCTTTTTTTTTTTTTTTTTTTTTTTTGGTACCAGAGATGGAACTCAGGACCTTATGCTTGCCAAGCAGGCGCTGTGCTACTGAGCTGAATCCCTGGCCCTCCAGTCTTTATTGTTTTTTTGTTGTTGGTACTGGGGATCAAACTTGGGACCTTGTGCTTTCAAGGCAGGCGATGGAACCACTGAGCTAAATCCCCGGCTCCAGTCTTTATTCTTTTTTTTTTTTTTTTTTTTTTTTTGAGAAAAAATTTTGATCAGTTTTATTATCATAGAAACATATGGAAACTTATTTTGCATTCTGACCTTGAACATGCAGTAAAGAGGTCAATGCCAGCTCCCTTGCAGATTCTGTTGTGACTTCCTGAATACCTTTGAAAGACCTTCATTATCAGTGGAGTTATGACTATGAGGATGGATCTCTGGGTGGATGATTCTTTCTCCATTCTTCCTTGAGCATGGTGTGTTCTTTCGACACAAACAAGTGGCTCATCATTTAAGAAATTTTTATTTTATATTTCTATAGTTTTTTTGTCTCATTTGGCAAAATATGTTCTTCCAGGATGTTATTTTGTTTGATTACTTTGTCTTCTGTAGCAATTATTTTTCCTCTGAGTAAGTTCATCTTCTTGGCACATTTCTCTGGAGTTGCTTTGATTAGTTTGAACCAGTTCTTTGTTGTTTTCTTTCAGCCTTGGCTATTCTCCTCTTTGGTCTTCTCAATCTAGATATTATCTTTGTAATGATGTTGCTAGAAATGTCTCGATTTTATCTTCCTTTATGGCAGAGTAGCGCTCCATTGTACAAAAACCACAACTTCTTTATCCACTCATATGCTGATGGGGCATTTTGATGTCTTGAGGATTAGCTGGAAGCACAGATGGGTTCCCATTCCTTGGGTTTTATAGTTAGGGAAAGCTTTTTACAGAAGGTGACTCTTGAGACATTTCATGACTTTTTCTTTTTGTTGGATTCTCCCCCTTTGCACTTAATTTCTTGTCATGCCCAACGGATTAATTCTGCTGGGCTTCCAGGGGTTGTGATCCTTGTTGTCTTTTCCTAGGATACTGTCTAAAATTTTTTGGAGTGCTAGTTTGGTATTCATGAAGTTCCTAAGGTGCTCTTTGTCATAAAAGCATCTTATTTCACCATCAGTTTTTCTCCAGTCTTTATTCTTGATGGGGACATTTAAACATCCAGAAGGAGGATGGGGTAGAACTGTGAGTTCAAGGCCACACTAGGCTACATAGCAAGACCTTATCTTCAACCAAACCAAACCTAAATACACAGAACTCCTAGTTGAGGCCTGCTGAGTGTCAAAGGGGCTGACCTGGTGAGTTAGACCAGAATCTCAGAATCTGCAAAATCGCAGGGTGGTTCTCTGGCTTCCCACTGCCAGTCCCAGCAGCTGCTGATCCAGAGCAGCCCCACATGACCCAGTCAGACTGTTGTAATTTGGTTCCCAGGATTAAAACCCAACCTGTCAGCCTCTCCTGGCCTCTTACATCTGTCTTTGCTCGGATTCCAAGGTGTTTCTCTCCATCCCAGCAGCTGTGCCAGGTAGGTTGGGCAGGGCTGACCTCAGTTCTGGTGAGCCTGATTTTCCCTGAGCTAAAAAAGAAAAAGCAAGACACCATGGCACATGCCTTTAATCTCACTCAGGAACCTGAGCCAGGATCACAAGTTTGAGATCAATCTGGGCAACTTAACAAGACCGTCTCAAAATTAGAAAAAACTTTTTTTTTTTTAATATTCAGTGGTAGAGAGCCTCTCTTAACGTGTGAGACCCTGAGTTCAGTCCCCAGTACCGAGGGCTAGGCGCTGCAGCTCAGTGGCAGAGCACTTGCCTAGTGTGCTCAAGGGTCTAGGTTTAATTCCCAAGTGCCACACACACAGACAATCCCCAGTACCAAGAGAGAGGAGGAAAAGGACGGGAAGGGGCAAGGGTCGGGGAAGGGAAGGAGAGAGGGCGATAAAGAAGCCTCCCCACTAGCACCCAGAGAGAAGGGCACGGGGGCGCTGCTGGTTGTCCCTAACCCGTCTACCTAGGTGACATCATGTGCCACCTCCTGGGATCTCCAGAGTGCAAGATGTGGAAAGGGGTCTTCCCAAGTTGAATATTCCCAGAAAGGTGCTCACTGCAACAAGAGTTCACATTAGCAAATGGAGCCAACTGGAGCATAATCCTTAATATGATCCAGACGATGCTCAAAGCAAACCTTTCAGTCCAAGAAAAACACCCTGCTTTAGCCCAGACACAACTTGAGGCCTCTACTAAAAAAATGCACATTGCCTTCAATCTACACTCCCTGTAAGAATTAGGAAATACAATAAGAAGCTCGTCTCTGTGTCCCTCTACAGGGAGCAGCTGGAAGGAGTGGCCAGGGAATCTCCTTCCCCACCTGCCAAGCCTGCCTCCCAACCTTCAGGGGCCAACTTACCTTCCTGTGGTCTCTTACATGCCTGCCCCAGCCTAAGTGAGCAACTACGGAAACTTCGCTCTGCTGAAGTTGACTGGATTCTACTTATCAACCCTGAGAATTTCCAATCTGGGATTTCCTGGCCCAGAGAAGATCACAGACCTGCTCAACAGTGAGCAGGCAGGTGGAAAGGAAGGGGATGGCTGTTGCCAAGGAGATGAGTTGCCTCCATACCTTCATGAACTGCAAGCTTTTCTGGAGGTGTGGGGACCTTTTAAAGAATACTCCAAACACCCCCACACAAACACCTGGTTTCATGAGTGTATGATTAGTACAGTTTGAATAAAATCTTGTACTCCGAAGGGCCCTGTACTTACGGTTAATGCACTGTGGTTGTCATCCAGAAATTCCTTTTTTTTTTTCCTGTGCTGGAGACGGAACCCACAGCCTTGTGCAGGCTGGGCAAACACTCTACTGCTGAGACTGAGGATTCGACCCAGGAAGTGCTGAGCTACATCCCGAGCCCTTATTCTGAGAAAAGGCCTCACTAAATTGAGCTTCCTATCCTCCTCCCTCAGCTTCCTGAGTAGCTGAGATTTCAGGCATGCACCACCATACCTGCTTTGATTTTTTTTCTTTTTATGGTAGTAGGGATTGAGCCAGGGACTTAGTACTGAGCTATATCCCCAACAACCCCCTCCCCCCTTTTTGAGACAGAGTCTCACTCTGAGTCCCTAAATTGTCCAGGCTAGGCTGAACTTGATATCCTCTTCCCTCAGCCTCCTAGAGTGCTGGGAGTACAGGTGTTTGTCACTATGCCTAGCTGAAATTTTTAATAAATTTATCTTTCAATTTGTGTTTTGTGAAATCCCATGCAACAGCGGAGTGTGTGCGGGGTGCTTCTTGTCCAACTGTTGCCACCATCTGTGCTTGTGCCCTGTGGAGTGGGGCATGGTGGTGGCTATCCCCAACCCCTCGAGCTGGCAGCACCATCGTGCTTCTAGAGGCTGCAGCCTCTTGCCCATCCCTTCTCTGCATCGGGCTTCCTAGCTCTGAGTTTTAAAGATACTTGAGGGAGCTTGTTAGTCTTGGGCTGGGATGGCAGGCCTGTGGGAAGGTAGAGACCTGGCAAGAAGAGGAACCTGGCTGTTGTCACCTATGAGAGTATCTGTGAGGCCCCATGCCCTAGGTAGCTCCCAACAGGCTCTGTGATAGGATTCTTCTTCCTCCTTCCAGCTTTCCTCTGCCTGGCTTGTGTGTGTCTCTTCTAGCCACATGGAACTTTACATAGATTTTTTTTTTTTTTTTTTTGGTACAGGGGCTCGAACTTGGGACCCTGAGCTTTCAAGGCAGGCAGCGGAACCACTGAGCTAAATCCCCGGCCCTGGAACTTTAAATTGTGTCATTACAGTGAGTCCATGTTTGGACCTACCTACCTTCCTTCCTTCCTTCCTTCCTTCCTTTCTTTCTTCCTCCCTTCCTTCCTTTCTTCTTTCTTTCCTTCCTTCTTCCCTCCCTCCCTCTCTCCTTTCCTTCCTCATCCATGCTAGGCAAGCACTCTGCTGCTGAGCTTCCCCCAGCTTCAGTGATTCCAAATGTGAGTTAAATACCCTTGATATTTGGATTTAAAATTGGCATTAGCTGACCAAGGTGGTATGTGCCTGTAATCCAAGTACTTGGGAGGCTGAGGCATGAGGATTCCAAGTTTGAGGCCAACCTGGGGAACTTAGTGAGACCTATGAAAGGAATCCGACCACCACCATCCTAATCAGAGACCACTCTAAATCGCCCACTCCCAGCACAGCTGCACCTGGGCCCTGCTATTGATAGCAGCCACTACACCCTGCACTTTCCCAAGCCTCATTCTTGGGCAACCAGTACCACTTTTGCTCTCTCAAACCTTGTTCTTGGCAGGGAACCACAGCCTCCTCTCACTGAACTACCCCCTCCCCATGGCTCTACAGAAGATCCCATAGCCTGTACCTCTCAAGTTTGTTCTGCAATAAACCTGTCCTGTTGAGCTCAAACCTCTGTTTTTCTTTTCCTTTTTCCTAACACCTACCTCAAAAATAAATAAAGAAATAAAATAATCATTGCAAAATTCCTATAGTTTGGGTCTTGAATGTCTCCCAAAGACCCGTGTGTCGAAAGCTTGGTCCTCAGCCAGCGGGGCGATGCCACTGGGAAGCAATGTGACTTTTAGGAGGTGGGTGCACTGGAAGGAAGTGAGGTCTTTGGGCCGCGGCCTGAGGGGATGTTGGGACCCTGCCTCTTCCTCACTTTGCTTTCAGCTCCACCCAGTTAAACAGCTTCCTCCACCCTGAGCCCTCACCAGACCTCACTGGAATGTGCTGCCTCACCACAGGGCCAAAGGCAACAGTCAACTGACCTGGAATAGAACCTCCAAAACTGTGAGCCAGAAGAAACATTCGGGTATTTTGTCACAGTGAGGAACTAACAAAGAGTATAAAGATGAGGGTGAAATTCATGCTAAAATTTAAATGTTTGATTTTCCTTAGAGCAACATTAAATAACAAAACCACAATGACAAGTCAAGATATTGAAAAAAAAATAGTTAATGTTTAACTCTTTTAAGTGTGTTGTTAAATACACATAACATACAATTTATCTTTTTTTTTTTTTTTACAATTTACCATTTGAAGCTTTTTTTTTTTTTTACCTTTGGGGATGGAGTTTGGAGCCTTACATATGCTAGGTAAGTGGTCTACCAGTGAGCTACCCCTCAGGCCATTTGATCCAATTTTTATTTGCTTTGTTTTGTTTTTGAGATAGGGCCTCACTATGAACTTGCAGTAATCTTCCTGCCTCAGCCTCCCAAGTGCTAGAATTACAGGTGTCCAGTATCATGCCTGGCTCACATTTTAACCATTTTCTAGTGTGTAGTTCAGTGGCATTGAGTACATTCACATTGTTGTGCAACCATCACCACCAACCAGTTCCAGAACTTTTTGTCATCCTTATCTGAAGCTCTGTATCCACTCACCCATTCCCCTTCCTCCCAGCCCCTGGCAACCACCTATTTTCTGTCTTTGTGAAGTGACTACTCTGGGCAGCTCCTACCATACAACATTCGTCTTTATGTGTACCATTAAAAGCATTTTCCCCTGCTTTTTTTTTTTTTTTTGGTACCAGGGATCAAACTCGATCGAACTCATGCTTATGAGGCAGTCAAAGGAACCACTGAGCTAAATCCCCGGCTCTTTCCCCTGCTTTTTCATATGTTCAGCAGTGGAGCTTTGAGATGACTGGATTTTTTTTTTTTTTTTTTTTTCTTTTGGTACCGGGGGTTGAACTCGGGTCCTTGCACTTGTGCAACAGGTGGGGAAACCACTGAGCTAAATCCCCAGCCCTCCCCTGCTTTTTGTTGTTCGTTTGGAGTACTGGGGATTGAAGCCAAAGGCTTGCCCATACTAGGTAAGTACTTTACCAGTGGCCACGGCCCTAGCCCTTTTTCCTGCTTTGGACCAAAGACTTTGCACTTTGATTTTACTGAGCCCCACTAATTATGTACCCTGTCCTGCTGAGGAATGTGCTTGTAGCAGCCCTTCTCTTCCTGCTGGAGATGTGTAACTTGTGTTGGGGCATATGTACTCTTTCTCCTCTCCCAGGACAACTAGGACTCTAAACTTCGGTGTAACTCCTAGGGGCCTTGCAGCAGGCAGGTCACCTCTAGCTGTTCTAATCTCACCTGGCTTGAGAAGTCCAGAGAGATTCCTCCACTCTCCATGCAGGAGTTTCATTTTGCCCCCAGAGCATGGCTGAAATGGAAGGACAGAAAGTCACTCTGAGAGAGAATGCTCCAAATTTGGGATAAATAATGAATAATTTCAATGAAAATTATCTGGCAAAAGTATTGTCAGCACATTCTTCTGCATTCAGGTGAAAGAAAATGAGATTCTGTCTCTAACATCGATCCCAAACTTTTCCCTTGTTGGCCCTGCCACTCCAGGACCTCGGAGCATCTAATAACGTTCCCCAAGCCTGAGAACCTTCACTAATCTGCCCCAAGTCCCCAACCTCAGAAAGGGACATGCAGACTCTCTAATCTGGGTGGTAGATTCACTCCCAGGACTGCCACACAGATTCTGCAATTTCTGTGGGAAAGGCAAAGTGGTAAAATTACTCTGCTGCAGAGGATTCCCCTTATCCTCTTAAACAGGAAATTTTTGCTCCAAATCAGTAACCTGGCTCTCTGGGAGGTCAGTAGGTTCTGCTGAGTAGCACCTTCTGAGATCACTGGAGATTTTACCCAGATAAAACTGATCGGGCAGGTTCCCCATTGCCTTAGGGCTTTTTCTACCATTCTGAAATCTTTTCAAGTTCTTGTAACCAGAAAAGCAGCAGCAACAGAAAAATGGCCTCCGCCCCCCCCCCCCCGGCCGCCACAAACATGGGCCTCATTATTGTGAGGCTGGTGGAACTTTGAAGGTTTTTCCAAGCTGGAAAGAAAAAGGAACTGTCTCATGCAGCTGTGATGTGGGCCCTGGGGTGGCCAGTGGAAGCACAGTGGAAGATTGTGAGCAATCCATGGCCACATACCTGCTTCCTCCTGGAGCACAGGAACCGGCTGTGTCTTGGCCAGGACAGTCTTTTCTCAAACCAACAGTAGAGGGCAAAAGGAACTTGCCCTCTGCCCTCTGCAGATTGAATAACTCAGTCTGTTGAAATAAATGGACAGTAGGCAGATTAACAGAAAAGAAAGCACATGCACATGGGAGCCACTCAAAATATGACACTCAGAGGCCAGATAGCTGGATGTGAAGGCTGAGGAGGCTGGCCTCCTCACAAGTTGAGGCTGAGGAGGCCAGTGTCCTTCTCCACAAGTTGGAGGCCAGCCTGAACTATACAGCCAGACTCTGTCTCAAAAAAACAAAATAAACAAATAAATAAAAACAGTATTAAGAGGTGGGATTTTTAAGAGGCAGAACCCTCATGAGTGGATGAGAGCCATTATAAGGGGAATGGGCTCCTGACAAAAGGATGGGCTCAGGGCTGGGGATGTAGCTCAGTGGAACCATGCCTGCCTGGCAAGAGCAAGGTCCTGAGTTCTATCCCTGGTACAAAAAAACAACAACAACAAAAAAAACTCAGCCCCTAGCCCATGGTGGCAAACCTATGGGACTTGTACCTCAGCAGGCTGTTTGTATGATTGAAAGCTCTGTTACTGTATTTTTCTTTTAATGTATGAGTTATTTTTTCTAAACTAAAACCTCAGTATTCAGGTTTGATAGCAGTGTTGGCACTTTGTATAAATAAGTGGATTTTGGGTTGCAGTTTCGGCACTGTCTCTAAAAGTTTTGCCATCTCTGTGCCTACCCTGCCATGTTATGATGAAGGGAGAGGCTCTCACCAGAGGCAGCCCCCCAGTTTGGACATCCCAGCCTCCAAAACTGTGAAAAAATGCTTTTTTAATAAGTTTCAGTCTATAGTATCCTGTTGTAATGACAGAGGTGTCAAAAGCTCCTATTCCAGGGACTGGGGATTTAGTTCAGTGGTGCCACCATCTACCTCGCAAGCGAAAGGTCCTGAGATTGATCCCCAGTACCAAAAAAAAAAAAAAGCACCTATTCCATGTCCATGAACAGGAACATTTGGAATGAATGCCCTATCTGTGGATCCAAGTCCAGTAAGTTGTTCTGAACTTGTTCCTGAGCTCAGATTCCACTCTGATCCCTTCTCCTGGGTCCCAGACTCACTATGGCTGCCATTCTCCCAGCAGAGCCCAAAGGGGTCCCCCTGCCACAGAAGTCTAGCCTGGTGACAGGGCCTCAGTTCCACAAACAACTCTCTTGGCACCCCTGCATTCTCCATCACCTCCAGGCTCTGGATCTCATGACACCAGTTTTTTGCCTGCTTGCCACTGTTTGTCTCAGTTTCCACAAAGGGCCAGTAAATCACAGGACAGAAACAAGTGGCAGTTTAAATACATGAAAAGGATGCATGGCCTCACATATAGTAAGAGAAGTCAACATAAAAACTATGCTGAAATTGGGCTGGGGATGTAGCTCAGTGGTGCCGCTGCCTGCCTGGCAAGAACAAGGTCCTGAGTTTGATTCCTGGTAGCAAAAAAAACTATGCTGAAATTATTTCAAAACAAAGATTAAAAAAAAACTTTTGGGGGCCATGGTGCACATTTGTAGTAATGTCAGCTACTCAGGAGTATTGAAAATTTGAGCCCGGCACAGACAAAGTAGAGAGACCTTGTCTCAATTTTTTTTCCCCTTTGGTACTAGATTAAATCCAGGGTCTTTATACTGGGCTACATTTCCAGCCCCCTTTTAACTTTTTATATTGAGACAGTGTCTTGCTAAGTTGCTAAATTGCTTGGCTTGAACTTGCAGTCCTGCCTCAGCCTCCTAGAGTACTGGGATTACAGACCTATACCACTACTCTTGGCTAACAATTTTTTTTTCGTTTTTGGTATCAGGGATTGAATTTGGGATCTTGTGCTTGTGAGGCAGATGGCAGAACCACTGAGCTAAATCCCTGGCCCTTGGCTAAGAATTTTTAAAAAGGGGCTGGGTGTGTAGCTCAGTGATACAGCACTTGCTTAGCATGCACAAGACCTTGGCTTCAATCCTCAGTACCATTTAGAAAAAAAAGCTCTGCCAGTTGTAGTGGTGCTTGCTTGTAATTCTACCACTCAAGCGACTGAGGCAGGAGAATCGCCACAAGTTCAAGGCCAACCTGAGCTACATAGTGAGTTCAAGGCCAATGTGAACTACATAGTGTGACCTTGTCTCAAACCCCCCCCCCCAAACCAACAACTAAATAATAATAAAATTAAGAGAAAACCTAGGGGCCAGTGATTTAGCTCAGTGGCACTGCGCCTGCCTGGCAAGTGCAAAGTCCTGAGTTCGATTCCTGATCCCCCCCCCCCAAAAAAAGAGAAAACCTATATCGACATTCCATTTTAACCTTTCAAATTGGTAAATATCAAAAGAGTTGTTGGAGGCCAGGAATTTTGCTCAGTGGCTACACCTGCCTCCCAAGCACAAGGTCCTGAGTTTGATCCTTGGTAAGGTGGTGGTGGTGGGGGGTTGTTGGGACTGGGGATGTAGCTCAAGGGTAGAGTACGCATTTAGGATAAGAAAGGCCCTGGCCTCAGTCCCTAACCCTTTCCACCAAAGTTAATAATGTTGGCAAGGACAGAAAAACAGGTTTAAAGTGCACATTCTGTTAATGCAGCAATCTTCCTCTAATAATGTGTCCTGAGGATATGTTCACAGGTACAGAAATGATACTCATTGTGAGCAGTGTACACATAACAGCAAAGGTTTGGACATAGCTTACTGGAGGACATTCAGATAATCCTGGGGGTCAGCTTGCCTGGGCTGCTCCTGCCTCAGGGCTGTGTGCTCAGAAGGGTCTCAGGCTGGCCGGGGTCACTGGCCCCTGCTCTGCTGGGCTGGGCAATGCACCTTCCCCGACATGTTATACCCTTAGCCCCAGAAGCTGTGGCTCTTATATGTTGACAGGGACTTTGTAGGTATGATTAAGTTAAGGATCATGAAATGGGGACAGAGTCCTGGTTATCTGGATTATCACATGGTCCTTATAGGGGGAGACAGAGGAGATACTGATGTGGTAACAGAAGTAAAGGTTACAAGCCTGGACCACAAAAGAAGTGGCCATGAGCTAAGGAATACAGGAGGCCATTTTAAATTATTTCAAAGTCAGAAAAAATGGCATAATTAATGAGTACATCTAAATCTCATTCTTTGAGGTAGGAGGAGGCAAGAAACAAAATTGACAAACCACTTGCTAACAATGCCTCCCAAGTGCAAGGTCCCAAGTTACATCCCTGGTACCAGAAAAAAAAAGAGGGCCAGGCATGATGACACACACCTGTAATCCAGCACTTCAGAGGCTGAGGCAGGAGGATCTCTGTGAGTTCAATGCTAGTCTGAACTACATAGCAAGACCTTGTCTCAAAAATCAAAAAAAAAAAGAAAGAAAGAAAAGAAAGAGGGGCTAGTGGTGTAACTCAACAGTGGTAGGACGCTTACCTGACATGTTCCGGGCACTGAATTCAATCCCCTGCCCACACACACACACAAAAAAATAATTAAAAAAAAATACGCAAATACTTTGCCCACTCCTATGCTAATACAATACAACTTAAAATCTGAGTGAGATAGATACCACCCAAGGAAATATGAATTATCAATAGGGACTAAGACAAAGTAGAAATTTTTTTTTTTTTGGTACCAGGGATTGAACTCAGGACCTTTTGGTTTTGAGGCAGGCAATGGCATCACTAAGCTAAATCCCTGGCCCAAAAGTAGAAAATCTGAACAAATAAAGCTGTCAAAAGCTATTTTAGGGGGCCAGGGATTTAGCTCAGTGGTACTGCCACCTGCCTTGGAAGCACAAGGTCCTAAATTTGATCCCTAGTACCAAAAAAAAAAAAAAAAGAAAAGAAATTTCGAGGACAGTCTGAGCAACTTAGTGAGATCTTGTCTCAAAAAAAAAAAAAAAAAAAAGAATTGTTCTAGCTACAATAACAAAGCATCTATACCTTTTAAAAGATATTTACTAAATTAAAGAGCATATTCTAC